CCCAATCAGATGTTCTTAAAGGTATGCTTTACTCAAAACCAGAAATAGTGGTTACTCAGTCAACTTTCTCATTGTTTTGTTTCAGGCATTTTTTATCACATAAATTTCCCCTCAGAGTAATCCTTACGCTTAAGAGACCCAAGAATTTAGAGCTTCCAGCCTATGAAGAGAATTTATATTGGCTACTAAGACAGTGCATACTGTCTTAGTATTTAAGTATGTATGTCACTTCATGAATATCCTAGATAACACTCAGTTATTTAATGCTTTATCCATTAGTTCCAAGTGGCTCATATCCCTTCTACAATGAACTAACAGATAACCAGGCTTGCTCTTCTCAGTCACTTCTATCATTGGGTTTCAAGTCTTAGCAATTATACCAAAGGTGTCTCAGAATGAAATACTAATATGCCAAATCTTACAGTCAATTCCTTTTATATGATGCTGCTCTTAAAGTACTGCATTCTATTTTATTACGTTGGCTCAACACAGAGGCTGAAGCTTCCCACAAATACTGTAACATTTTCTTGCCATACCAGGGAAAGCAACAGAGGGGCAGTCTGGCAAACCGGCACCTGACATGGAAGTCTGTCTGAAGCAAAAGTGTGTCACTGAATTCCTCCACGGGGAAGCAATTGCAGCCAGTGACATTCATCTGTCGCTGAGCATTTCTGGAGACCAAGCAGTGGATGCGAGCACAGTGAGGAGGTGGGTGGTGTGTTTTAGCAGCGGTGACAGTGGGTCATCTCCATTGGTGGGGATTTTTATGACCGTGGCACGCAGGCATTTGTTCATCACTGGTGAAAACGCATAGCCAATGGTGGTGAGTCTGAAGAACTGTATTCTGTAGCTGAGAATTTGGTCTATCCAACAGGGCGATTGTGCTCCTCGTACGCTATAGTTTCCACGGAAATAAATAGGAGGTACTACTTCCAGAGGAAAAAAAATATACGTTCTAGTCAAGTAACGGTATCATGAATGAGGAGCAATGTAAGGGGCGCAGTGCTGAAGTCAGAAGGCTGCGTTACGCACAGTATCCATCCCAAACACGATTTCAGAGCGCTGCCTCTCTTCTGCAGCGCCCCGTGACTTCTCTTTCAGCCTCCTTCTCACCCAGCCGCCTCTCGTTTTTAATAAAAGCTCCAGATTTCACTTCGGAACTTACATCCAACCACGGCAAAGCCCTCACGCTTCGTCCTTTGGCGAAGGTCTGCCACCTCCGTCACACCGCCAGCCTTACCAAAGAGCTGGAATTCACTACGCCACGTTCCAACTCGCCGGTTTTTCACTAAAATTGGACTTTCTTCCTCAGAGTGGAAATCAGAACCGCGGCTCAACAACACCGTGCCCTCAGACGCCTCCGCTATCGAGGTTTTCTACTTTACGATGTTACGTTTTTCACCTTTCCCACTCGCGCTGCCGGCGCGACGCGTTTAATAACAGCTATTCGCCACCATCTACATCCGTGCCGCCTTCTTCCGAGCCGCAAACGGACAGCACGACCTCGGCACGACAAACGAGCGGCCCCGGCCCCTCTCCCAGGCTCCGACACCCCCGGCCTCGCCCCTGCGCCATGTTGTGCAGCGGGGTCCCGCCGAGCCGAGCCGCCTTTCCCGCCACGCTCCCCGCGCCCCGTTACTCACCGGCCGCTCCCGGGCAGAGCAGCGGCGGCACCGCCGCCAGGCACAACAGAGCCCAAGGCCACGCAGCCGCGGCCGCCGCCGCCATGGCCGGTCACGAACCCTCAGCCAGCGAAGAGAGGGCCGGACGGGCCGACGGGCAGGCTGTGACGCCGCCGGTCTCCATTGGCTGCGGTTCCCCCGCCCGGCCCCGCCCCGCCGCCTGGACGGCCGCGGACATTCCGACGAGCGCCCGGGGCTCGGCGCGGGCTGTTGTGAAGCGAGGCGGCGGGCTGCAGCTGGCGCGGAGCGTGGGCTCGGCTCTAGCGGGACCGACCGTGGGCTGTAATTCTAGGAAGGAGCCTGAAGCGCTTTGCTGGTTGCTGCTGCTTTTGCTCTTCCGTCCTTAGGGCTGTGTGTTCTTTGCGAGCGTCCTCCCTGTGCTCCAGCTCCTGTGTGAAGATAACCCGTGGAGATTCAGCCCGTGGAGACGAGTAAGGGAAGACTGCAGCTATATTTTATTTTATTTTATTTATTTATTTTTCTGTGAAGATCAAGCTTTATATATGTATAGAACTCATGAGAAATTAAATCGAAGTTATCCAAAGCAGATTGAAGTTCCTGCTCCATTCCTAACTGCTAACTACTTTGTCTCGGAGAATTCTGAACCGTTTCAAAGTCGAGTAGGCAGACTTTCCATGGTTCTGGCTTCTTGGCGACGTGCCACAGCCATCTCACTGCCTGACTCTGGCAATAGCAAAACAGGAGTCTTAAAAAACATAGTTTGCATGATGCTGTCTGTTCTGCTTTTACCCTTTCCCTAGCCTGTCATCCCAATCGACTTCTCCCTCCAAAGACAATCTGAAAAACCACCAAGCTATTCATGACTCCGTGGTTTTCACAGCCTCGAGAATCCATAGTAGCTGAGTGCTCTTTAGCTCCAGAATCAAATTCACAAAAGGTCCCAAAAAAGAAAGCAACGAGGCCATACCAAAAAACACTGCAGTGAAATGTAAGTTTTATATCCTGGCCATCGGCTATAGAGTAATTAAATCATGTATTTATGGAGCAAAGCCATAAGAAATAACACTACACTTAGTTACATTCTAATTTGAAGTCAAATTAAAGTTGCTGCTCTAAATGTGAATTCATGAAACTGAAAAGCAGCCAGTATAATCTGACCATAGAAAAAATTGTCCTTTTTTTTTTCTTCTTTTTCTTTTTTTCTTTTGCTGCCAATATATAACAGTTGAACAGCTGGGCTTTTCCCCCTAAACCCAAGGTTAACTTCTGCTGGTTCTTATATATGTCCTTATAATTCACCAGGGATCCACTAGATAGCAGCAGATCCAAAAACAGCATCAGCCAAAAAGCCGAATTTTTACTGTGCTTCAGTTTCATTGAAGTACAAGGAGGCCTGAATGAATTTGATACACTTTTTCCTAGTTATGCTAAGTGGTTTACTTTGTCTCAGTTCAGCATGTGGGTGAATGCTGTTTGCTGCACAGACTGTTCTCCCTGAATGCCTTTTAAGTGCAAAATTATTATCAAAATGATAATTAACTATTCCACAAACAAAAAGGCAGAGGAAAGATGCTGGTACTTCTGGTAACTGAATGGCTCTGGGTATTCTCACCAAGACACTCTAGCAGGTCCAGAAGAAATAAACGAAACCACTGAAAGTAATTCTTTCACTTCTAAGGAAGCAAGTTCATTTTTGAAATTATACAAACCTTTTAAAATTTGATTTTCAGTAATAACAGCTCAAGTTCTTAAAATAGGCTCTTGTTTAACCCAATTGTTCTAGAGACCAAGTACTTTTTCCCTTAGACTTTATATGTTAATCTGCATGCTGTTGTTTTCCAGTTAAACCATCCAAATAGACCTTATGAAAACAGAACCCATTTCAAATCAATTCCTACCCAGGGCTTAACAATGAGAAGTGGAATCTTGGAGTTTAAACTAATCAAATGCCTTGGTGTAAAACAGATTGTTGTCAGTATACCGACAGGTTACCTTCTAAGTCTAGCCATAAGACAGAGAACTTTCTGCAACAGTATCTTTCTTTTTGCTGTTCCTCTTGTGAAGAGAAAATAAATATTTTATTCTATCTGCTAAATCCTTGTTTCTTACAACATAAAAAACCCTGGTCATTCAGCTACTTTGTTTTCTGGAGTAGCTTGCTTAGTTCATTGTATTTTATTACATGTAGTGTTTAATCCAGCTTCCTTAGCTTAGAAAAATGCTGAAAAATTAAGAAGATTGAACTTTACATTTTATGTTGAAGACTTCTTCAGCACTAAGTGAAGATTCTTAGGTACTCACCTTTTGAATGACTGGTCAGAACACACATTTTTACTGTAAGATATTTGACCTGACCAGGATCCCATTAGAAGGTAAAGTGATTCCCAGGGAGGAATTCAGTGACATACCTTTGCTTCATATTAACTTTCATGTCAGATGCCATTTTGTCAGACTGCCCCTCTGGTGCCCTCCCTGGTACAGCAATAAAACGTGACAGTATTTGCAGGAAGTTTCACCTCTACTGCCAACATCTGCCTCTGACATGATGGGCCTACATAATAGAATGTTTCTTACTTCCAGATGCATTACTTCCAGAACAGCCCTCATATGTCAGCTACAATATATACTTTATATGTGGTCCAAAACAATTCCTCTTCACTTAGTGCAGCCCAGGCAAGCCAAAAGGTTGAACAGTCATGGCTCAAACCATTATGAGATTCCTGTTTTGCACCTTTTAAGCCAAGCTTACAAGGTATCAACAGAAAAAATTGTCTTGGTGATAATGTTCTCCCTGACATTTGTGATGAATACCACTGGTACTGTGGTACAGTCTGGAAACAGCAATGCTCACATTATCCTGACTGCAGTCACTGTCCAACATACAGATATGGTCTTCACATCTCTATCTTCTGATATGCTGCTTTGCTTCAAATGTGCTGTGTAATTGCACTATATAAATTAATAATGATCATTTTCTGAGTAACTGAAGGGTGAATTGGAGCTTGCAGTGGAAGACTAAAACATGGACTGCAATTACCAACAGAAAGGTTACAACTTGCTACAAGATAAAACTGTCGCTTTTTTGTGAAAGCAAGGAATCAACCTCATCACAGACTAGCAAGCCAAAGCTCACTATTTTTTTCTGGCTTCCTCAAGCCATAAGAAACATGCCTTTTGCAGCATGGAATAATCAGGAATAATTTGTCCACTACATTCACAATAAAAACATACTTCATTACATCAGTATTTTTCAGTTTGCTTTATGTCCTTTATAGTAGAAATGGCTGATTATGAAAAGAATCATTGTTTTCCTTCTACCTACAAAGCATGTTTTCCTTGAGTGATTATAATTTCACTCTTTTCTTTAATGAAGATCTGTGTTTTCTCCCTGTCTTGATGTTCTGCTCAGATTACAATGATCCATGTCTTAGGGTCACTTTTCTTTTTTTTTTTTTTTCAAAAGCCACGTGAATACCAATTAATTGTTTCGATTTTCTATATGAAAGAAAAATAACAGTACAGACAATGCTTGCATTATCTTCAGCATTGCCTTTGAAATAGGATGCATCAGCAAATTTCTGTCTAGCACCTCTTCATATGCACAGATGGTATGAGAACTGTTATACATACAGCTTTGCTTCTTTCTTTCTGCCTTGATTTTTCATCCTTGATTTCACTGTCTGGGTACAAAACCATCAGCCTATACTATGTTGTGCATAAGCAATACCTAATGATAGCCAGCTTTTCCACGTTCTTATTCTCTCTGTGATCATCTCTGACTTTAAATACCCTCTCTTTGCTTTTAGTAGGCCTGGCATTAACAGATTTGCTTGAGGATCAGCTTCCATTAATTCTTCAAGCTTCACTAAGTTTTCTTCATGAAAACTTGTCAAGTCAATGTCACTTCTGCTCAGGTACTTCATGTCAGGCCCGCTATCATATACACTGCTAGGACTTGTAGCTCATACTTCCTGAATGTCAGGACTGTCTAGTCCAACCCCCTGCTGGAGCAGGAACACTTAGATTAGGTCACACGAGAATGTGTTCAGCTGGGTTTTGAATGACTCCAGATAAGACCCCACAACTTCCCTGGACCACCTGTTGCAGTGTTCTGTTAACCTCATCATGAACTTTTTTTCCACATATTTACATGGAACCTCCCGTGTTCCAGCTTGCACCCGTTGCCCCTTGTCCCATCACTGGATGTCACTGAGAAGAGCCTGGCTCCATCCTCCTGACACTCACCTTTATGTATTTATAAACATTAACGAGGCCACCCCCCAGTCTCCTCCAAGCTTAAGAGACCCAGCTCCCTCAGCCTCTCCTCGTAAGGGAGATGCTCCACACCCTTTATCATCTTTGTGGCTCTGTGCTGGATTTTCTCAAGCAGTTCCCTGTCCTCGAACTGACACAATACTCACAAGATGTATTCACAATACAAACACAAGATGTGTTCTCACCAGGGCAGAGAGGGAGGAGAACCTCTCTGAACCTACTAACCACACCCCTTTTAATATATTCCAGGGTGCCATTGGCTTTCTTGGCCACAAGGGCACAGTGCTGGCTTGTGGTCCATACAAGTCCATACAGCCTGCTATACACAAAGTATGCTGGATACCTTGCATTAAAAGCTGGCGCCTGGCAGGACATGTGAAAATATCTTTCATGAAATCATATGAAATCAAGCAGATGTTCCTGATGAGCATGAAAATTTGCAAAGCTAGTTTTTATGATCAGTTTCTGCAGCTAGCAAAATTATTTAGCAATTCAAACATGAAATAGTGGACTATGACCTAGAGGATAACATTTGCTTAGAGCAACTCCATAAAGATGGTTATGACTTACGATTTTCTTTTCAATATTCATATTTATACATCAGAGAAATGGCAGACAAACTTTTTCCCTTTCCTAAACAAACATTACGAGACTGTATAGCACTTGTTTAAGTTGTATGTCCACAGCTCTCAGATCTTGCACTCTTTCATGAGCATAGGTTTTTCACATCATGACAGTGCTTTGTGAAATTCGTGGTATTTCCTTTCTTTAGGCAAGTTTCTTATGCATTTGAACAACACGAGTAGAAATCTATGACATCTCTTTCTGATGTCATCATTTAGTTTTCAAATAGTTGCTCAGGCTCTGTAACAAGTGCCTAGGAAATGTGGATAAACACACAGCTAACAGGCAGCTTCTACTAAGTCTGTGGCTTTTACTAAGTCCTCACTATCCTAAACTGAACTGAACTGAAATCCTGAACTGAAATTACTGAAGACTGACGTCTTTCCTACCATTTGTTGAACTAGTGCTTTGAGTGGGAACTGCCTGCATCCTTTCTCAAGCAGCAACAATCCACCAGAGTCATTAAAAGCCAACAATATCCTTAGAAACAAATAAGTTAATACTTCAACTAAAGAAGCTCAGATCTACCGAGCAAGCTGGAAAAAAAACAGTTTATCATTTTTCTCCTCCTCAACAAACATTAGATCATTTTTTCCCCACTGCTCTCATTCCAGTATATTTTTTAATTTTTGAGCTTACAATGAATTCCATACACATCCTTTGTCCTGTCACCTCCGGTGCTTCGTTTCCCCATTTTGCAGGTCCTACATTTGCTCTTTTCTGCCGAATCCTCTTAGGACTCCAGAACCTTCCAAGATGAGCATGCACCCCTCTAAAGCTTCAGGTGACTATTTATTTTCCAGTGGTTTGGACCAGTCAGTATTTGGTTAATTAATACCACTTTAAATAATATGTAACTACATTAGCAAGCAGTGATCCAGTTATTACCCATCAATATTTTCTATGGCCACATGCTGCATTCCAACGCATAGAAAATAATAAAATAGGGCAGAGGTGTTGTTGTTGGCTTTTTTTTTTGTCAAGGAAAAATTGTCCTTGACTTGGCCATTACAAATTTTGGAAGTCAGCATCTTCAAACAGAAAGTGTACATTTACCTTGGGTTCTACATGTTTTTCTACTTAGGGGATTTTTTTTTTCACTATTCTAAGACCACATACAGAACTTTGAAGGGAGATGAGTTTACTCAATCTTCCAAAGAAGTCTGAGAAATCACAACAACAAAAACAACCATTAGGTTCGTACAGTGTTTTGTGCTATATTATTTCAAACATAGTGGTGGTGTTCTTCTATAGAGACAGCATTAAGTCTTGTAAATAGCCCTTCATTATGTGTGTGTTTTTTTTTTTTTTAGTTAGACCTACTTACCACCCACAGTGATTAAAATAACAACTTGTGTTCAGCCTAACTTAGCAAGAACGCTTCCTATGCTGCGCTCAATTAATTTGACTCATTTTTAAATGCAGGGAACTTATCTATGGTTCTTTCTTTTTTTAGGACAGTGACAAAAAAAGAGGAAGAGACATCTGATCTGCGGCATGACTAGAACTGGACATTTTGGGGGCCTATCAGTGAATAGATCTGTAGTTGAACAGTGTAAGAAGTAGTGGCACATGCATTCATCATCCTGCCTCATCACAGTAGTAGGAGGTTTTGATTTCTAAAGCAGAAAATGCCCTCAAGTTTTCCTAAGACACTTTTTCCATCTTGAACTTTGATAGGAAACTCCAACTCTGCTGAATGACTTGTGTAAGACAGAATGCAGAACTCATGCATTCAGCAGCTCCTCTTAAATTATCTTAAAACAGCCTCATAGATGATTCCTGTTCACAGATTATCAGCTTACAGGTGTTTTGTTTTTGTTTTTTAAACTACGCATAAACCATAGTGAGACCTATGAAGACCATGCACATTTTGTCAAGTCCTTGCAGCAATGTAAAAAAATATATATATATAAATGATCATACAAGTCCATATTTCACTCAAGATTAAAAATCACCTGCCAGAAGAACAACTGCTTGCTATTAAGTGTATTTTTATAACCTGATTTCAACTTGTGTTTCATGCTTTCAGGATAAGATTGACAAGTCCACATTTGATAAAATTAAGCTTGGTAGATGGTAACACCATTATACGATTTAGAAGCCACATATATCCTCTGCCAGCAGATTTATGAGTAGGACCTTGAATTTTACTGCATTTTAATAGTTCATAGTGCTAGGCCTTCCTTTGGCAGCTTACAGCAGAGAGGCATGTTTTCAGCCAAATATATATATATCTCCTGTGACAGTTTTTAAAGAACACATTTTGATGTAGCTTTTGACTTTCTCTGGACACCTTAAGGATTCCTATTTTGGAGAGATTTTAGTGGAAGCTGTACTGATGCCCTGGCATCACATTTTGGGATGCATTAAATGCAACATAGCCAGCTAGTCAAAGGAGGCAATTATACCACTGTTCACAGTGCAAGGGAACAGCCCAAAGCTGTGGAAGGAGAGGACTGGGTATTAGGAGGTATTTATTTTCTGCAAGCACGGGCAAACACTGGAACAGGCTTACCAGCAAGGTGGTCGAACATGGACAGGCGTGGGGCATCAAGAGCTATGAGAACCATGGCCCTAAAGAGGTCAGGCAGGCAGACTACATGGCCTTCGCAGGCCCTTTTCCAATTGAACAGTTCTAATAAAAATAGGTGCACGTAACATTGTAGAAGAGCAAGATATCTTAATTTTTGTTGTGGTATCAGTTAAATTCAACACACAGACTTTACTGGCTATTCTGCAATGCACTGAGGTTAGCTGCTCAAGTCTTAAAATTCTCTTATACATACATTTAAATGCTAGCTTATTTCTACGTAAACATAAAAAAGAAGCAAAATTTATAGCCAGTCGTGTTGTTTTAGCTAAGAGACCAGAGACACCAACACTGTATTTATCCAAAACGTATTATAGGATACAAGGAAGACTGGGCACGTTCATCATCATCTGTATGGCATACATGGGATGGATTGCTTCAGCATTAGCAAAGCCCTTCTCATCATTTTCATGGCAGCAGCAGAAAAGGAATCCACAGGTACCTCACTGTAAATCCACACTATGCCAGTTCAGAACGTACCTGTAATGTCTTCCCCTAAAAGACAATTCAAACATTTTGAGGGGAAAAAATAAAAAAAAAATATATATATATATACACATTTTCACTCCTTTAATCTCTCTGTTGTAGTGTTAGCACCTAATATAAGCATCCACTCTTCTACTGTCATCCTATTTACAATCCACTGAAATGTATACTCTAAAAATACAATACATTTTCAGAAATATAAGGGGAAATGCACAATTTTCTAAGGATTAAAAAAAGTGACAGTCATCTGTACAGGATCATCAAATTTATCATCCAAGAAGTAAAATTTACAAGGCAGTATCCATCCACACAGCTACATAAAGGGGTAGGTGCTACACTCAAAGCAGCAGACTTGCTAATACAATAAAATATGGAATATGAAAGTGTTTTGGGGCACGGGAAAATACATTTAGTACCACTGAGGCTAAAAATTTAGGATTAGCCATATTCTAAAAACATGTAACTGCAAACCTGGAAAATGTTCTGAAAATATTAAGCATTATATACACGAGGTAAATGTACCTTGGCCTTTTAAGAGGTAATTAGAGTTTAAAGCAACTGATAGTGATTTTTTTTTTTTTTTTTAAACATAAAATGATTAACACCATACAATCGTTTCAATGGAACAGTATAAACAAGGAACTAACTAAAAGCTGGAATTTATGACAATCACACACAGAACCATTACTGAAAATATAATATAGCCTCTTATTTGTTTGACACCTTCATGTTCCCATACAGTCAATGTTTTTATATACAAAGTCTTTCTCAGGATTACAAGTGAGACCACAGGAGGGTGATGGTAGATCATCATGCCTGGAAATTCAGCTTGATAAACATTTCAGAATTCCAGCTTTCAACATTAGAAGGTCCCTGAAGAACTCCAGCATTCCAAAAGCATTATTTTGGGCTTTTCAGCATCAGAAAATTTTCCCCACTCTTTATTCTACATTTCAGTATGCATCCAACTGATCGCCGAGGCTTCCAATGCTACTAAAATATCAAATTGATTGAATCCATAAAACTTAAGTGAACATATAAGGTACGTATATTTACAATAAACATTTGCATCTGTATTCAAACTGTTTTGGTATATACTTGAAATGATATAAAATTAGTATTTTGAATGCTAAAATATTTTGGTCCCCCTGGATTTCCAAGAGCAGATCCGGTGATAATAAAATCTTAATTTAAAAAATACTTATGTGTACCTGTGTCCATACATATAAGATATGATCTTGCACAGGTAACATTTAAAGTTACGTAATATATACAGACACAGCCTTTGTAAAAGGTGTTCAGTTTTTATAATGTAAAAGAACACAGCATGAAGTTGTGGTATCTGAACTGAGGATACATACATATCCATTCAGAATTTTCCTGTACTGCATTCCAATATGAACAACATAGTTGTTCTAAAATAATATTTGTAATGTCACACTGTATTGACTGTCCTTCCCATGGTATGATGTTTCTAAATTATGAACTATACCATTTGTATCTATGATAAGGAACCAGGTAAAGCTATGACAAATGTCAAAATTTAACATTATTTAAATAGTAAGTCTTTAAAATTGGTATGGAACAAATAGTAAGTCTTCCTCTGATGCTGACTTGTTTTCTGTAAGTATTTTTCTGTATCTATGGGATGCATCAAAGGGGATGTCAAATAAGTAGAATGAAGAGTTTAGTTACATTTGGCCATTTTGTTTAAATGGTCATATTTGGAAAACTGGTCGTTTGCATAAAGGTAGTTTAAAATCCCTATGTGAAGTTTGATTTAACTTTGACTGATAGTGTCCTGAAAGCAGTGTGCCAAAAAGAAACGCAACACACAGGTGTGACAGTTGTATGAACATTTCAACCCAACTGTTTTCTCTACTAAGAACTTCTCTTTCATTGTGTTCTGTTCTCTAAACTCATCCACAATGGTGGCTGAAGAAAGAATTTCATTACACGCAGCTCAAGCTCTGCCAGTGTGTAATTCCCACATCATTTAAACCCATCTCCAAGCAAGCATTAAGAATTTGGAACTGCTCAAGACTTACCTAACGCTAAGCCTTGGCCACCTTTTGCTTTTGCCACCTACATGGCCTTTTCACTAGGATCTGCCCATCTTACTGCTGTTACCAATTGTGTATCACAGATGAAGGGGCACAATCTCAGCTATGCTACTATTAGCAATCACCTTGCCATCCCTACTAGCTCTGTGAAAAACCTTCGAGGAGCTATATGCTGAAAAACAAAAAGAAAGCAGAATTAAGGTTGCTGTGTGTAGCTCACCAAGAATACTCCTGGAGAGTAAAAGGTTAATTGTGAGTTTATATACTAATTACCAGGCACTAAGGAAGGAAGCCAAAGATCAACCACGCTCTTCCTACCACTGCAATTAAACATATCCTGAAAAGGACAATTTTAAAAAGTTTCCCTACCCTCATCCAGAAGTTGGGCAGGAAGGAATTCAATTTCTAAATAAGTCTGTGAAGATGTTATGATGTCCCTACAATTTCAGGCAAAGTCTGACTAAAGCCAGGCATACTTTTCTGTATTCTTACGATAACACAAGCCATCATAAGCTTTGTTCTTCTAACTCTGAAGAACACTGATGGAGTCTTCTGGTATTTGTATCTAAAGACCTTCAGCTCACTGGTTTCTATAGCTCATCACTTTCTTCGTAAGTGGCACACAAAAAAATGCACAGAAGATTAACAGGCAGCTTCTAGCTTTCTTGTACAAAAGCCTAAATAAGTCTCCCTAGTTACAAGTACACTCCATGCTCATTTAATTGCAAATATTAGCTTTTAAGCCTAAAGACTCCACAGAACTGCACAGAATATATGCTTCTATTATTAATTTGAAGGGGGAAAATCTTCCTTATGATCATCTTAATTTTCTTGCTATTTTTCTGAAGTAGGTGGGTGCTTCAATATTTCAGAATTACCACATAAAATAAACCTTAAATTGTAAAGACTTGGCAATTACAAAGCGTGACAATGAATTAACCAGTTTACATGATTTGAGACTCATACAATGGTTTAAAGACTTAGATTTTGGTAAAATTCAAGGTATTCCACAAATTACATACTCACTTGCTGAAATGAGTGTGAATTAAATCTTAGCTAGGGAAAGGAACAGTTCATTCTTGGAAATCAAAAGTACCATGGGCTTTGTATACTTGCTGGTATGCATGAAAAGACTCAAAAGCAGCACTTACTGATATAATACAATCTATTTTAAAGGCAATGTAGTGTTTTGAAAATATGGAAAAAAAAACCCAGTAATCATGTATATAGTTGCATAATTTATGTTCCCCACTACTGAATGAGGTCAATTTGCAAATAAAGGTAAGCATTCAAAAGACATACAACCTTAATGGGCAGCAAAGCATACTCCAACAGTACATTCAAAATCTGAATCAAAGAACTGTAACAGTGGTTCAGAATACTCAATGTACCAGGCAGGAATAACGTCACTTAAGAAGCCTTCAATGCACTCTAGAACAATACAGTGAACCATTTCCATTTTAAAATGGATCTTGTTTTCAGTACAGTTTACTAGAAGTTAAGACCAGCTATGAACTTTCCAAATAATAATAAAAAAAAAAAATCATAGGTCAGTAAAAGTAAAACTAGTCTACATGATGTTTTATAAGTAACCTCAGAAAAAGGTTCATAGTGCACAGAAAGGACCCAAAGCAACTGCTTAGCACATCCACAGAAATCCTAATAAGTGACGTTCCTATGAAGTATTAAAAGGCAGCAATATCCTTCTGTTCCCCCAGTGAGGTAGAACAATTAACCTTCTTAACACGCCACTCTGGTGCAGATATGGATTTTTACAGTTTTTTTTTTTTGTTTGTTTTTGGTAGCAAATCCAGGATTACATCTTTATCCCCTCCTGTTGACTAAGCTGTGATAGTGTTTTCTTAATACGCAAAGCTGTTAGCCTAGCAGCTCCGTTGGCATACCAGCACTCCCGCATGATTTTTGCCATTACTCGTAATGCCTGCAAAAGAAACAAATTATTACATGCATTTCTGTTCCCATGTAACCTCTGTTTTGCATTAGCCTCTTATAGTACATATTTCTAAAGTCTATTACTAGAACTACATTGGCATGTTGTATAAGTAAACTCAAATCTTGAAGATTTTTTTTCCCTGTAAGTAAGAGAACTGGTATTACTCAGCACGTGCAAAAATACTGTAACAAAATGTAATAGCTTCTCTATTTTCTAAACTAAATTTTTGCATTAGAAAAAATACACTAATTGTGCTTTAAATCCAGGTAAAAAGCAATAGTAGAAAACCAGAAGGCACTCAATATTAGCATGGAAGTGCTGTGTAGCTGAAAATGTACTCAAACACCTTCTCAATCATTATGTGCTTTTAAAAGAGTTAGTTAAATATGTAGGTTAGTTAAATATGTAGCAATTCAGTACTTTTTTTTTTTTTTTTTTAAATCAGGTACTTTCCTCGAATTTGAACTTTATAATATTCTGAAAACTAGAACCCTTTTTATCCCTCAAAAACCTATTTTTTGAAATTTGTAAATGCTACTATCAAGTCACAATGGAAAGAACAAAAATTAATGATGAAATAAAGCGATAGATATACAGATTTTACACTCAGAGCTATATGACAAGAAATTACTTAGCTGATTTGCAAGAATTGAATGGAAGCATTAAAAAAAAAAAAAAAAAAGCTTTTGTAGCCAGTAGGTGTGTACTGCCTTTCTCTCCAAGCTGTACTGCGTTGCTAATCTTTTTCTCAGTCCTTCACGTATGTATTAAGTTTATACATTCCACAACCCAGTTACCTCTTCCATCTAATGGACATCAACCTCCTACTCCTGTTTTAGCTTCCTGCAGCTATTCTCCTATGCTCTGGCCCTGGCAAGCTGCGTAACAAACTCATTCCAGAATCAGGCAAGCTCATCTGCAGAGAGGCACAATCATAAGCACACACATCTCAGTTTTATACTTCTGGCTTATACAATTCTCAGTTTCCTATTTACTGCATTTATATTTCAGTAATCGCCAACCAGTGCAAATTCTGAGAGAGATAATGTATTAAGGCCATCACAGTTTTGGATTAAAATTCATAGACGTTTACTGTTTTGGTCAGCCTAAATTCTGCAAGATATGCCTCTGTCAAACGAGAGGGAAAAGACACTTGACTTAGTTTCAGGCTGGCTTCACATCAGGCAGGACAGCACTGTTGAAGATGAGCAGTGCTGTTGTCCTCGCAGAATGCTGAGTTGAAACTGTGCCTGCTTTTCAAAAAATTTACTAGCCAGCCTAGTTGTAAACCAACTGGCACAGATCTAATGAGAAGCTGTGCATTTTTCCTGATTAAATCAGATGTTTTTACTGCCTCAGCTGTGGGTTGATCCCAACAGGCAACTGACTCCCAATCCACAGAGCTGCCTGTTCACTCACAGTGAAGTGGAGAAAGAAATTCAGAAGGGCAGAAGCAGGAAAACACGAGTTGAGGTAAAGACAGTTTAATAATGAAAAAAAAACAAAAAGAAATCCAACAAAAAACAAAAAATATAAAAGCCATTGCTCACCAGCAGCTGAGCAATACCTAGTCAGTCACCAAGCAACAGAATTAAACTGCTGAGTAAGACATTAAGCTTTATGGTATATCCCACTGATTAATACGTATTTTTGTCCTGTGTTTCCTTCCAGCCTTTGTCCACTACCAAATTACAAGCCGTGGGAGCACAGCTGAGTTAACAGTGTGCTCAGGCAGCTAGAAGGGCCAACTGTATCCCAGGTATATGAAACATGGCACTGCTAGCTGGTCAAGGGAAATGACTGTCCCACTCAATGCACTGGTGCAGCCTCACCTTGAGTACTGTGTGCAGTTTTTGGTGCCACAGTCCAAAAAGGACATAAAACTACTATAAAACAGTGTCCAAAGAATGAGTACGAATATGATGGAGGGTCCAGAGGGGAGATCTATGAGGAACATCTGAACTACTTTGGTTTGTTCAGCCCAGAGAAGAGGAGACCTCATTGTGGCCTACAGCTTCTCCATGAGAGGAGCAGAGAGGCAGGGGCTGATCTCTCCATTGAACAAAACCTGAGAGAACACCATGAACCTGCAACAGGTTCGTGTTGGGTATCAGGAAAAGGTTCTGCACCACAAAGGTGGTTGGGTATTGGAACAGGCTTCCCAGGGAAACGGATGGCACCAAGCCTGCTAGAGTCAAGAAGTATCTGGACAATGCTCTCAGTCATACTGTCTGATTTTTGGATGGTCCTCTGTGGGGCCAGGAGTTGGAATCAATGATCCTTACAGATCCCTTCCAACTTGGAATAAGATGCAACTCTACGATTCTGGGAAGATTAAATGTATCCTAGCCAGATGCTGTACAGCCTCTTATTAAGCCATTTATTCACAATGACACTTCCCAGACAACATAACTGATACTAGCTTTAACTTATGTTAGCTTCACCTATGCTTCACAGGAAGGAATACTAGAATCCTTCATAGAACATAAGGTATTCACTTTTGTAGGACTTCATTAAATATTTAGGCATAATCAAAGTGCAAGAGCATTCAATAAAGCCACAATGATTAGAAAGAAAGAAAGTTTTCCCAGAGGCAACCCTTCTCCCTTCCACAACAAGCACAACTTTTAAGCTGCTGAAATCAATAAAAGCTCCAGTGTTCATTAAAACAGCTTTATAGAGGTTAGCCAATACCTCACAGCTCTGCCATCTGTTTGGGATATTGGGCCTTAACTTCTGCTCACAAACAACTTTTTTCATTTCTTCAACAGAAGGATCTGAAGGAACTAGGTCATAATATGGCAACTGGTAATCTTCATGGATTCCTGTAATTGGTTGAAAAAAATCTTTTATTTTTACCTAACACTGAAACATGCACTCTACTTTTTACTTACGGTCCTTATTGGTGCCATTTTTCTACTTTTATTTTTATTTTTTTAAAATTACATTATGATCTACAATAACATTTAAAAAAAATCCTTAAACGTATCTTCATGTTACCTTTGAAGAAATTCTGAAACGTATGTATTTGGAAAAGATGAAAGCTATGCCAAATCTTTCATATGCTAAAGAAATCTTTTTTGGAAACATACCATTTTGAATAAACTGTACACTTTACCTGAATACATTATGTCCAGGTCTTAATTGTGGTGTTTTGCCCCTTGATCTCAAGGGCATTTAACTCTACTCTTTTATTCTCTTTACATCAAAAGTTTTAGAGAGAAAAAAAAACAATACAGGCAGGACTATTTCCCATATTCTTCAACTGGTTCATTATTTTACACAGAGGTGGAATCAACCCGACATCATTTACAGGATTAATAATTAGAGAGTCTGAAACACACTGCAGTGTTTTTAGACAAAACTTTTTACGCAAACTTCTGCTCACAAGGATCTGTAAATTACAAAATTTGACAGAATTGTAAGTAAAAATTGCTACCTACCACCGATTGAACATCGACGAGCAATTTCCCAAAATACTAATCCCATTGCATAGATGTCTGCTCGTTTGAATGACTCAAAATGTTTCATATTTATGGAATCATCTAAAACTTCAGGTGCCATGTACCTATTTGCAAAAAAAGAACAGAAAACATTTGATTTCATAAATATCTCCTGTAGAAGAAATTCAGTGCTACTGTTCAGTTCAAACACACTTATGTGGAAAAGGAGAGAGACAGAAATAATGCACTTTACAAAGATTAAGATGTTCAAAGTTTTCCTGCTTTTGGCATATACGTTTACAAAAAAAAAATAAATATCAAAGCATTCAAATAAACAGCTGTAAGATTTAATGTAGTCCTTAAATAGAATTTATGAGGGATATTTAGATTTGATTACTAACAGAATATATACTTCACAATTTAGAATACAGTAAAGATAACTGAGTGCCAATTTGAAGAGCAAGTGAATGGACAGTAGAGAGCCTGAATCATGGAACAGCTTGGGTTGGAAGGGATCTCAAGAACCATCAAGCATCAACACCCTGTTGCAGGGAAACAAGCTGCAAGATCAAATATTAGATCAGATTACCCAGGGTCCCATCCAGCCTGGCCTTTAACACCTCCAGGGATGGGCATCCACAACTTCTCTGGGCAGTCTGTTCTAGCACCTCCCCACTTTCTCAGTAAATAACTTCCCCCTGATATCTGATTTAAATCTCATTTCCTTGAGTTTTAAACCATTCCTCCCTACCCCTATTACCTGTGTGATTTCCCTCATGTTTATAAACTTCTTTAAATTTGAAAGGCTGCAAGTCTCCCTGCAGCTTTCCCTTTCCCAGGCTGAAGAAGCCTACTTCCTTCAGCCTATCCAGCCCTCTGATCATCTTCATGGCCCTTCTCTAGACGCTCTCTAGAAGCTCCACATCTTTCCTCTGTTGGTGTCCCCAGATTTAGAATGCAGTACTCCCACTGGGGCCTTGTGAGGGCAGAATAGAGGGGGACAATCACCTCCCTTGCCCTGCTTGGCATCCCTCTTCTGATGGAATCCAGGACACCACTAGCCTTCTGGACTGCAAGTAGACATTGCTGGTTCATGTTCAGTTTTTCATCTACCACAACCCCTAGGTCCTTCTCAGCTACAGACTGAAAAGTCTTTATTTTCACAAAAGACAGAGCAAAAAAGAATTCTCACATAAAAAACACATGGGCAGCAGTTTACAGGAATGCTAGTTGCTCTTTATACAGAAGAGAGTACATCAGCGAAAGTAGGATTTTCTGAGACTGCTGCTGAGGCACAGAGGAAAAGACTTGCAGGAGATAATACTAAAAGGTAGTTGTAAGGTGTATGGGAACTGCTGAATCATGGCCTGAACCTCTGATTGACCACCTGAGGCAAGCAATGAGTCAGTCCTGGGAGCACAGGTGAAGGCAATTCTCCTGTGCTACTGGAAGGGGTAAAGCCTGGCTGCACCTCTCCTAGACCCCATTTAAGAGCTGAGTAGCCCTGGGGAAGGATCTTTTTTGGAGACTGCTCCTCTTGGAGTCTTCCCTGCGAGCCCAGGACAAGGGTAAGCTTTCCATCCATTCTTCTTTGGTGTGATAACCTGTTTAGGCTAACTTGTATATTTCTTAGTTATAACATTCATTGATTATACATAAGGTTATATGAGCACCTGTTTCATTAAGGTTATCCAAAAAAAGACCTTAATTGTAAATGATATAAATAGAAAGCAATAAGCAAAGAAAAAGAGGGAATAAGTAAAAGGTGAAAAGATAAATAACAAGAGCCATAAACCTGGTAGATGTAACAGACAGCAATAATGACCAAAAGCCTCCAGTCACTGACTGATGAGCTATTAAGAAACTCCAGGCACAGCTCAGGAAAAGGCCAGTCTGGATTTTCTAATTGCTAATAAGTGTGAAAACAAGAGAAATATAAGGACCACGGATATTCGCATTGTACTGTGGGACAACATGAAACTTTTATCAAGCAATATTTAGGAGAAGGGAATCCAAAAGGAGTAAAACTGAAGGAATACATAAAATGACCTGACAAAGGAGCCAGGTGCATGTAAACAGTTGCTAGACTGTCTGTTTTTCTGATCAAGGCCTGTGTCTGTCTGCTCATTGCTATCTTACAGAATGATAGTTTTAAAAAAAAGATTTCATATAATCTCATTTGCCACCCCACAATGCACATGTGCTTTAAGGTCTACAGACCACAACTGGAAATAGTGGCTCTGAATCACACCTAACTGGAATCAGACCAGGGATGAAGGTGCCACTGGGCCTGGAGTGCCATCAGCTAGAGAGGAAGAATGCTTCAGCAACTGGAAAGAGAACCTACACATCCTAGAAGTCTTTGGAGCATACATCTGGAGTGACAGCTCTTGTGGGAGTGAATTCTGGGCCAGCAACTGCAGTTAAACAGTGAGTGAAGACATCCCTGGGGCTGGGTTGCCAGCAATTGGAGCAAGTCAGTGTCGTTGCTAGTGCCAGCAACATGAGCAAATGAAGGTCACTGCTTCAGACACTGGAATGGGACCATGGGTCACAGGGCCCACAGTTCCAGCTGACAGGTACCAGCTTCTGCAGGACTGGGATCAGAGAAGCGGAATAAGGGCTCTCAGTGTCAGAGAGTGAAGACAGCATTGCAGGCAGCAGCCCCTACAGACTAAGTATAAAAGTATGAGGTCTCAGATAAGTAACATGTATAGATTACTGCAGTGTCAGCCAATAATTCTACTTCTGGAACAGTCACAGAAGCTTATAAAGAATTATATCCAATCAGCAATTGTATAGCAGAGACTTAAATATACTAGGACTCCAATTTTCTTAGCACCAGAGATAGCATGTAAAATACAAGACTGGAAATATAAATAGACATACAAAAAAGGGCTATCAACAAGAATGCAAAAATATGCATAGTCCAATAAGGGTTGCTGAAGATTAAGTTCTCCTGAACAAAGTATAGGCATATGAATTCCTCACATGATAACAGCACAAGCAGAGAACAACTGTCTGAACAGGAACATGAGGCTTACCTTGACTGCATTTACCAAATGAAATGTCAGTCTTTTACAAGTCTCAAATGATTCTAGGCCATGTACATTGAAAACTTAAATCAAGAAAAATGCAAGATTACAGTGAGCATTTCCTGATTTCAACAAGGACTTTGCATACACATACTGGATTATAGTCTTACATTACTTCATGTCCTTAACAGTATAGTGCTCAGCTTCTGGTCTAGAGGAAAGAACATTTAATCTATCTCTAGATCATATGGGGACACTGGGGACAAGAATATTGAAAGAGTTTGAAGGATAGGGGAAAAAAGCACAAACCAAAATACCCCAACCATGATGCTAGTCTGTTAGGCATAATCTCTATACTGGTATTCAGCAACTGAATTAAAGTTGTTATTGAATAGGTGCAAGCTGAGTTTTACTATGGAAAAATAAGTGAAGATGCAGAGTTACTTACCTAAAAATACATAAAAGGGAGGAAGAAGGGACCAAGCCTTTTTATGACAATGAACAATTGTCAAAGTGACTAAAGTGGGCAGTGGACTTAGTCCTGATGCTGCCCATTGCAGAAAGAGCTGCTATATCTTCAACCTTGTGAAGAAGCATGAGGCAATGATTAGTGAGGATTTTGAGGAGCAGTAATTCCCAGAATTTTGTAATCTAGCCGGAATTCAGAAAGTAAATCATCTGACACTTTTGTGTAGTGTTTTTAATTTGGCAAAAGGAGCAAGAACAGCAGAGCTTTGGGATGAAGTAATGTCAGCAGTGTAATTGTCAGTAAAATAACTTGCATTTAAGTTCTAAAGAGTTTTGTTCACACATACACGCATAGCATCACACACTAAAGTGAAGAGAAAAAAAAAATCATTTTGATTTAACAATTAGATCAGGCAACATTAGTACAGAATATTCTCCAAGGCAGCTAGAGCATATGGCTGAATTTAATACTGCATAGCCCTAGATCACAGGGCTATTTCTCAGTGATGGACTTTGGTACAAGCAGCATCACTGATCTAATGCTGAAGCATTTAATTGTATGCAAATGCAATTATACATCTCTCAAGTTATTTTGAGAATGAGAAAAATCTATATTTCCAAATTTAGAGGTAGACTTTTTAAAAAAAAGCATATAGATCCATCCACTGATAATTCTGTTTATACAACAGATGACGAAGATGACTGCCTTTCTAAGGTCTTTTATTTCTCTCATAAATATAACTCCATGAAAGTCTATATTCAAGACCTTGTACTTCGTTCTACCATGTGGGCTTCAAATTTGAAACAAATAAAACACTGCCCCCCAGAAAACAAGGAAAATCGAGAAGCAAAAAAAAGCACACACTTTACTCTCATTATCAACATCCCAACTAACATGCAACCAGATGGCAACAAGGCATAAAATACAAGGATGGAGCAAGTGAAATCTCTGCAATTGTTATTTCTGAGGCCTAATTGTTTAACATATACTTGTGTCCTGCTACAATTTCGCATATTTTCAAGCATTTTATATACATGCTAGCAGTAGAAGCCAATAACCAACCTGTGCTTTAAATACAGTCTAAATCACCAGCTGAACAGCCTGCAACAGAACTCCACTTGATACTGTTTATATTTGTTACTTAAGTTTGTAGCTAAAAAAAAAATCTTCTAAACAGAAGAAAAAGCAAAGCATTTTATTAAGACGACATCTGATACATCACACTAATAATTTTTACCTTTTTGTTCCTACTCTGTGGTTGGGGGCAATGTCAATTGTGTCTGTAGCTGAATCGTGCCGAACTGCCAACCCCAGGTCTGCAATGCAGCATGTTCCATTCTTTTTTACCAATATGTTTTTTGATTTCAAATCTCTGTGGGCAATCGCTGGTTTGCCTGTAAAGAAAAAACAGAAATAACACATATGTAAAAGACAATTGCTAATATTTCTAAACCTGCTGCAGACTTTGTTTCAAATTATGGAATTCTTTCCACATCTGCTACTTTGAGCTCATCCTCAAGATAATCCTTGAAATCATTCTTTGTGGACTAGCTAGTTGACCAGAAAAGTGCACTAAATGCTTATTGTATTACCCTAGTCTATGCTGCTTCCCTCCCACATCATATGTACATACATACAGTGCATAAGTATTACTTGCTGTCAAAAGACTTCTATCTCTTGAAACAGATCCTTAATGCTGCCACAAATCAAAAGCAGGCACTGCATATGTGTACTGTATGAAAGATAATTACATAATCACAAGAACTGGATATATCACAGAAGGGAAGGATAAAAAAGACCCAAGCCCCTGGAATGCTTTAACAGATCAGTAGTTAGAAAGTCACAAAGTGCATCAGTAAAACTAGAAACTTCATATACATCTTAACAGTAGGGAAGTTTCTGACAGCATGTTTTCTTTCCAAGCTTTTGAAGGAAACCAAAATGATTTTGCTGTAGTAAAACAAGAGCAGCCATTTTAGCACATAAACGAATGTAGCTGGTGGGTGACAGGTGAGAGAAAGCCTGTGGTCATCAATGAAGAAGGGATAAGCATATTTGTATAAATAATAGATTTTCAGAAGTCCACCCCCCCTTTTTTTTTTTTATTAAGTAGTGGAAGAAAAACTTTCAGTTTCATATTGTTCTCAGTAGAAACGGATACTGAAACACACTGTCTACATCAAATTAAGACCTTATTTTAGTTCAGAAATTATTTTAGGTCCTAAACAAACATTTCTCAATTCAGCTGCTCAAAAGATTACAGAAGTAAGCAGTTGTTGCAAAAAAGCTAGTCTGAGAGAGTTCAATGTTCTAATTAAGACAATTAAAGTACAAAGAGCTAAGTGTCACTAAAAAAAAAAAGTAGAACTATTTAGCCATGAAACAGACTGAATAATTTAAAGATTACCTTGTGTGCCAACAATTTCCATGTGAAGATGAGCAAGGCCACTGGCAGTAGACAAGGCTAATTTTATCATTCCTTCCACGGTTACTGTATACCTGTTCAGGTAATCAAAGAGTGACCCATGTTCGTGATAATCTGACACCAACCACAGCTGTGTCCACGTACCATTGTCTGCAAAACAACACTGGCATGAATATCACACACATAAATGCACCTACAGACCCCACTCTTACACAATGCTTAGGAATTACAAACTGTGTTTTGTAATCCCCACCAGTTAGACTTCAAGTCTTTACTTCTCGCCTTGTAACATTTAAATGCTTCTGTAAAGGGCTCATCTTACCATGCAAAAACATTATGAACAGCTTAGGGAATATTCATTTACTTAAATTAAAAGGCAAACTGCAGAAAGCCTATGTTGCTATTGTTCCTGCTTAGGGAACAGTATGAATGCATGATGCAAAGCTAATGACGCCAGTACCAGTCCAGTCCAAAGTCATCCAGACTACAGAAAGAAAAAAAACCTGTCTAAAAACTTCTGCAAGTTTATTACATGAGTCTATAGCTTAACTTGTTTTATTTATTACTGTATTTTTGCTTTACCAGGCTAATTACTTAGAGTATTAAGTGTTAAAAAAATAACCAGTTATCTCCTGCCCTCAATCATACTTCTGCATAACTATGTGCCTTTGCAAATCAAGTGTTGCTTCATAACTCTTTCAGTTTCTCCCCATTACCTATCCAGCCTCAGCCTGTGACACACTGCCCACAATTATGAGCAGCTGTTGGATTTTTCTCCTGGAGTGGGAGCTTGCAAGCAGCAATCCGATGTTTTATTTCAAGAACTAAACCAAATCCCACCACCAGTGACCTCAAAGTTGCTGCCAAAACTGTGGTTTCCAGAAAGAACAAGGATAAAGAGAATGAAAAACACCAGTTATGAGAAAACCAGTTTGCTGTATCATTTTCCACTGAACTGAGACAGACAGACTGTAATACGCTTGCAAATACCTCAAGATACAAAAGTGACAGGCAAGAATCCAGCTGTTCAAACTATAAGAACACTGGGCACAATGTCTTGAAGTTTATCTACAGAAAGAAGACTATTTAACAAGTCAAGTCATGGGGAAGAAAGACTTTCTGACCTAGGAAGCTAAAGTACATCCACAAAAGAACAGTCCTGCCACTAAGCAGGTTTTCTGATTATTTCTTTATTTATGAATTCAAAGCTCTCAAGACAAATCTCAGAAGTACTTTATAGCTGCTTGTGGCTATATTTATAATTACAATTATAAAATCGTAGTTCAGGACTTCTATCCCAAACTACACAGCCATTATTCCCTAATAACAGGTGACAACACAAGCTAAACATATGAAGAACATAATCTGAAGAACAGGAAGAAATGAATGCAGAAATTAACTTCTATCATAAACATACTGCTAACCAAACCCAAAGTTCTGCAACTTCTTACATTTCTTTTTTCTTCCTCCAATCTCCTCAAAAACACACTTGGCTCAGAAAAGTCAGAAGCACAACGTGCCAGATCTGCAGATTGTAGACATATATATATTTAAGCACTGTTGAGTGGGTGAGAAAACTTTAAAGAAACACTTCTATGTGTGTGTTTCAAGAGAGGTCAGAGTTACCATTAAAAGAGAAACTACATCAATATCAATGCATTTTAAAATAATCTGAACGTTTCAGAGCAGGAAAATAAAAGTCAATTCTTACACTAGAAGAATTCTAGCTCACTACATTCACAGCTTACTTCCAAATAGGCACCAAATGTAACTTCACTGAACCAGCTTCACAGAACTATTAGATAAGCATTCACAGGCACATAAAATGCTCTTTCCAATGCATATATTCAGTAAGCTCAAAAAAAGCTGTAGGAGTTCAAAATGAAATAACCTAGTCACACGTCAGAACACCTTCTTCCTTTCATTTTATTGCTTCACCAGTTACATCCCCACATTGACTGAAACAATGCCTGGCCATTAACACTGCATGCAGTCACACACACAGTCACTGACTCATCCTCTATGTTTCTTATGGATGGGATTTCTGACTGTGTGTTTAAGCTAGACAACAGTAAGTACAGAATTCAGCAGATATCCAAGAGCAATTTAGTTTAAGCTATCTACTAGATCTCCTGCACTCAAACAGAGCTTTCAAAGACACCAGATTGTTCATGAAAAACCACCATTGTGCCGAGTCAAGACCGTATTGCCTACTCAAAGTTTTTTCCTCTGAACTCTAGATGCTTATCTAAGAAAAGAACATATTTCTAATTACAAATCCCTCTATTTTCTTTTGTACAACTCTACTACCTGCAAAGTGCAAAAATCACAGAATACCCCAAGTTGGAAGGGACCCACAAGGATCATTAAGTCCAACTCCTGACTCCACACAACATCACCCACAATTTAAACCGTGTTTCTGAGAGCACCGTCCAAATAGTCCTTGAACTCCAGCAGGCTTATCTCATGACATGGGGAGTGTGCTACAGTGCCCAACCACCCTCTGGTGAAGGGTGCAACCCTCTCCTGATGCAGCTCTATGCCATTCCCACTGCCATCAGAGAATGGATATCAGAACCAGCCTCTCCGCTCTGCTCATAAGGAGGCTGTAGGCTGCCACAGGGCCTCCCCTCAGCCTCTTGTCTGGGCTGAACAAACCATGGGTATTCACCCACTCCTCTTAAGTTTTGCTACAGACCCTTCACCATCTAATAGTTTTACATCCTCCTTGCATTGTGGTGCCCAATACTTCACACACTGGTGAAGTGAGGACTCACCAGTTTAGAACACAGCGTGACAACCTCTCCTCTTAACCCTCTGGCAGTGCCTGATGCACCCCAGGTTACAGCTGGCCCTTTTGACTGTCAGGGCAGGGCATGCTGCTGACTCAAATTCAGCTTGCCATCAGCCCAAACTCACAGATCCCTTTCTGTGGAGCCCCTTTCCAACCTCTCATTCCACAGCCTGTACACAGTATATATTTTATACCTGTCCCAGGTATAGAAATCCAGTGCTTACTTTCCTTCATCTTCATGTGCTTGGTAGCCACTTCACCCTCCAGTTTGTCAAGATCTCTCTGCAAGACCTGTGTACCCTCTCATGGGAGTCAGCAGTCCCTCCCAAATCAGTATAATCCACAAGCTTAGTTTTATACCTTCAAGTTTTGTATTCAAGTCATTAAAGAGAACTGACCCTAAGACAAAGCCTTGCAGAACCCCAATAATGACTGACCACCAGCCATTTACTGTAACCCTCTGGGCTTGACCATCAGTCAACTGCTCATCCATCCCATTATGTTTTTGTCTAGCTGCATGCTGACTGTTTTGTTCAGAAGGATACTGAGAGAAACAGTTTTGAAAACTTGACTGAAATCCAAAGATATTACATCAACTGATTTTGTCTGGTCAGCTAGGCAGGTAACCTTATCACACAAAGTGATTCGGTTCGTTAACAGGATCTTCCCCCCACAAACCCTTGCTGACTGTGGCCAGTGACTGCACTGCCTTTCAGATATTTTTCAGTAACCCACAGAATATTCTCCATAATTTTGCCAGGCACCGAAGTGAGACTGACAGGCTTGTAATTACTAGTTTTCTTTCTTGATCTTCTTGAAAATTGAGTCAACGTTTGTCTGCTTCTACTTAACTGGCATTTCTCCAGATTCCCAAGACCGTGAAAAATAACTGAAGGCTGATGTTATGTTTTGATACCCATCTCTATAAGAACCTGGGATGAATTAGATCTCACAGATTTACGTGCATCCAGCTGAAGCAGCAAATCCAACACAAGGTCAGAGCTGACTGGAAGTTTATTGTTAAGACAGTCATAGTGCTTTAACTCAGGGCTCCAGGGGTTCCAGATGTTCACTGATACTCAAGACAGCAGCAAAGAAGGCTTTAAACATCCCTGCTTTATCTGCATCCCTATTTGTAAGGTAACCATCCTCATCAAATGAAACAAAGTTATCTATGATCCTCCTTTTGCTACTGACACATTTTTAGAAGCCCTTTCGGTTGTTCCCTATAGTACTGATCAGTATCAACTCATACTGAGCTTTGGATACACAAATTTTCTTTCTACAATGGCAAACAACATCTCTGTATTCCTCCCAGCCTTATTTCCATTGGCTGTACATTTTTTTTCCACTTAAGCTCGTGCCCTGACTTCTGACACATTGGAATTATCTGTTACTGTTGTCTTAAAGAGGTGACACTTAAAAAAAGAGACCAGTGTTGATGGACCTGAGTGCCTTTAAAAATAGTTTCCAGGTGATCTTCCAACTTGTTCCCTGAACAGCCAGAAGTCTGCACTCCCCATATCTAGGATTGAAGTTTTGGTGGCAGTTTTCCTCCTTTCAAAGATTTTAAACTTGACTACTTTATAGTCTCTGTGGCCAACGCAGCCAGCAGCTACAACTTCAATCAAAAGACTGCTTTTGTTTACAAGTAACAAATGTAGGTGGGCACCTTTCCCAGTCAGCTCCCTCAGTACCCATAGCAGGAACTTATCATCAATGTGCTTTAGGAATCTCCTGGACCCGTCTGTAGCTGCTGCATGGTATTCCCAGTTAACACATGGCAAGTTGAAACCATCCATAAGGACAAGGGCAGTTGATCTAGAGGTATCTCAGTTCCTTTAGAGAAGCATTCATTGATGTCATCATTGTGGTTGCATGCCTGCTGTAGGCTCTGACAGTAACAATCCACTTTACTTGGGTAAGGATGAAGGGATAAGCAGACTCTCAACCATATCATCACCAGCTGTGAGCTCTCTACAGTCCAGCCCCTTCCTCACACACAGCACTGCCTCCTGCCTTGCTTGCCCTGCCTATCCCTTCTGAAGACAGAAAGATTTCCCACTGTGACACACTAGTTACAGGTGTCTTCCAAGTAGGTTTCACTTATTTCTATGAGATCAAAGCTCTGGGACAGAGCCAAGACTTCTAGCTCCTCCTGCTTTATTCCTCATGTTTCTGCAGCATTGTATGCAATACTTTAGATGTGATCCAGTGTGCCCAGCACCTTGTGGAGCAGACTGAAGATTATCATTAGCATGCAGCCTCTCAAGTGCTGGTATGCCATTCCACAGTTTATCACTGGTAAACCCGGTTTTTCCCTTTTCTCTCTCTGAATCTAGTTTAAAACTTTACAAATCAGTCCTGCTCACTCCAGCAGCTAAAAATTCTTTTCAAACTCTCTAAGAAAAGTGCTTCCCTTTAGGTGCCAGCAGGCCTGATGTTGTACAGGAAATCCCATAATCAAGAACCACAAAATTCTGCTGGTGACTCCAGCCTTGGAGCCATGTATTGATCAGCTGGGTCTGCCTGTTCCTTTAAATACTGTTCCCTGCTAATTGAAGGACAGAGGAAAACACCACCTGATCCTTTAACCAATTCCCCCACTGTCCTTTTTGATTGCTCCTGGACTTCTTTTTGCTACTTCATTCATCTTAATATTTAGTGTTTTTACCTACTTTCTAAAGGAAAAAAAATAAAAGCTTGGCATATTACCCTTTCTGAAAGAAGCCTTTTTTTGAATTATGTATGTTTGTGGCCCTCCAATTAGGCTCTAAACGAGGCATGGTCTTACATACAAGCTTACATGAGTATTATTACATACAGACCAGTTGAAATGCAGCAGTAAGAACACTGGAGTTCAGCTTTTAGATGGCACCCACTACTACATCTTCACCTTACTCTATCTGACAAGCTATGCATTTATATTTCTTTAGAGATATTGGCAGAACACAAATTATTATGAATTTATTAAGTCTCATACTGTTGACAGTGTGGTTAATTATTACTTGGTGACCCTGAATATTCTGGTTGCAGAGTAAACAGCATCTGCCACAAAGTTCTCAGTTATACGACTCACATTATCAAGCATGAAAAAGTAGTTACACTTGGTCATAATTATATGCAGTAGCACAACTTTCCATGACAAAGTAACCTAATTTATCTAAGACAGTATGATCAGGAACCTCAAGCAAGATCAGAATGGTCAAAAAATACTGCAAGAATTTAGGTATCTTGGAAACCAATTTAAGAGTTTAATAATTCCACCCATCTGCAAGGAACATTCTGAAAACTTTTTAAGATCAAAACAACTCAGAAGCAAAAAGTTTATTTCATAAGATTAATAAAATTTGAAGTTCTAAATAAAAAATCTTTCAGATTTGTTTTTAGAACACTGATTATAGAACATGAATTCTAGGTAATCTTCATTTTAGACAGTCTCCCTCAGAAGAATATAAATATATTACAAGTGCCTTATCAAACCTATACAACCGAATTTCAATTAAAATTAAATGCATGTTTGTCCATAAGCAAAACACTAAGTTTTAAAGTTTGACAGCACTGCTGGGTAATGAGAATTCTAACCCCAGATTTATGCTCCAAGTCAAATATTTGAAAAGAAGCTACGAAAACTACCTAATTGTTTACGTTCTCTAGTATCTTAGAGTAAAATGTATCCTACTGAACTTTGAAAAACTACTTTTTTTAAACTGAAACCTTTTTTCCGTGAAGTGAAACAGCCTGACTCTCACACTAAGATAAGTCAAATGCCTTCTTCCCCAGCTAATATCAGAGCTTCAAATAGAATGGCAAAAACATTTCTCAAGAGCAAGGTAATTGTACTACAACAGAATGAGTACACTGCCTAGCATTCTGAGAAACAGACTTACCATGTAAGACAGGCTGATAGAACAAAGCTAACCTTTACCTAGAGAGGTACAGCTTTTAATTAAGATGAAGGAACAGAAGTTGAAATATTTTAATGCATACATTTACCTAGAAGCATGCAGTATAACTTCAACTTACTTACAGTATGAAAACAATTACTTCTACAGACAGCTAAACCCATGGAATTCATGAGTACTGGGAATAGAAACTCCTGCCACTGCCTGTAGACTACAGCAGATACTTAACAAATTATAAAATTGGGTATCAAACAAAACAAATAAAGAAGCCACCAATACCCCAAACTTCATGCTTAGGTTGTTCAAAACAAGGCAACACACAGCCCCAGCAGCTTGTGGAAGTTACACCTCTAAGTAGGGGATCTTTTTTTGTTTGTTTGTTTAAACATGTCAAATTAAGTGTTCAAGTAACATTTTTTTAAATTCTTAATTGCATATTTGTAAAATAGTTGTTGTAATTACCATTCTGACAATACAACAATCAGCAAAAGTAATTAGTAACATCTCTAACCTTTGTTGTCCGCAGCTATGAATCCAAGAATGTTTTCATGTCGTAGCATAACTGTTTGATAAATTTCTGCCTCTCGAAACCATGAGCGCTCTTCTCTTGAAGAGAAGATCTTCACAGCAACTTCTTCTCCTCTCCATTTCCCTCTCCATACTTCTCCAAAGCGACCCTTACCAATACTTTCTTGGAGTACTATAGTTCGTGCAATTGTTCTTTGCACAAGTAAAGGTAAACCTAAAAAGAAGATTTAACATTAAGATTGAACATTACATTTAAATATCAAAATAAGCACTTAGCATAAGAACAGTAGTATCCATATTCCATTTTTTCTCTTAAAATGCACAAACTTTCTCAAGATTTTGACAGCTTGCTGGGAACTCATAACAAGCATATAGGTAAGATGTTGCCTGCAATCATGAAGGCCAACAATACAAAAATTGAAACATATTATGCTACAAGCTGCCTCTACAGTCATTCAAAGGAAGGCACAGGCTTTCTGTTTAGGAATTTGGGATGGGACACAGAGATGAACAACAGACAGTGACACAACATGAAACATGATCAAATGAAATACAGAACGTGAAACAGTAAGGGTGTTTTTTCTTTGTTAAGGATCTGCCCATAACTCTCTTGGCAAAGCCACTGAGGAGCACATCTGCCACTAGACCACTTACTTGACTTCTTGCTAGACAAGACTTGATCAATTTCCAAGTTGAAGTTAAAACATGCTTATCAGCAACACTGTCAAACATTCATGCTGATGCCCAAGTACACTAGCAGCCTGTTAGTATTCTCAAACACCTCTAACACCAGGAAATCCTTGTAACATTTTCCCCATTTCAGAGGTCACTCTTGTGCACTTCACTAGCATTATACTTGAGAAAAATGCTTACATTCATGCAGGTTTTACAGCTTCAGAACATCTACATGCTTTCAACTCACAGCACCTCGTAACATGCTGCCATCAACTTACACAATAAACAAGAAGCATTGGTATTCCCCAGGCAGGGTAGGTTCTAAGTCTCTTGTAACTAAAAGGCTTGTTGTAGAATTCTGCATTGATACTACGTTACAGGATGAATCCATCAGCAAAGTTATCTGCTCACAATAAGGTCTTTTGATATTGGGTCAGTTCACTTATATCAAACACCTGGATCTATTACTCCATAATCACTGTTCCAGTAGCTGACAGAAGAAGATACATTTTCAATTTCCTTAAACTACTGAAAATAAATCACAACTAAAAGACTGAATAACTACTTTCCCTTTATTTCTGAATATTCTTTGCAAATAACAGCACTAGAAGACCAGATAATCTGGTCAACAGCATTACCATGCTTATGCCTCAGTCTTTGAGAAACGCAAATTAAAACATTTCAGTGTTCAGGAGTCCCTTGAGGGTTTCAGATGTAAAGGTATTTCCTGCATGAGCTGTGCTGATAATGTATGTACCTCTGCACAAAGATAAAAGGGGAAAAAATGCAGATACCAGAGATCTAAACATTTCAGGTATGACAATATTATTTGCAGAGAAAAAAAAAGTCAAACTTCTGTTGTGAAATAGCTATCCTCAGATCAACTGTATTGTCTGCTCAAACTGCAAGTGCTTATCTATGAAGCCTACTTTGCCTTCTTTATGGACATATTTTTGAACTGCAGAAAAGGCCAGATAATGACAGGATCAAACTCATTCCTGAAAAATGTGAAATTTGACTCTGCCGGCAAGAAGTTTCTTTCTTAACACTTACATGTTACAATTACAAAATACTTATTCAGAACTGGAATACAAGCTGATTTTTTGTACTTGGACATGGTGATGTGCGTAATATTTTCTTCTACCATAGCTGTTTCCAAGAACTGTACATCTTCAGTTTCAGATGCACTGCTTTCCTTGTGCTGTACTATTATGAATATTGCTGGTATAAAAGAAGAGAGCGCATCCAAGAATATCAGCTAACCTTGAAATAGATATTAAGCTTTACATCTTCTAAAAAAGAGACATCAGTTTTACTTTACAGACCCTCAAATCACCATGTTAAGACAACTGTTCAATCATTTAGGTTGGAAAAGACCTCTAAGACCATCAAGCTCAACTATTAAAATAGCACTGCCAACTCTGCCGCTACACCATGTCCCTGAAGACCACATCTACACGTTTTCAGTGTCTCCAGGGATGGTGACTCAACTGCTTAGCAGCCTGTTCCAAAGCTTCACAACCCATTCAGTGCAAAAAAGCTTTCTGATATTCAAGCCAAACATCCTTCGGCACAACTTGAAGCCATTTCCTCTTGTCCTGGGCAACAAATGACAGGACATTTACCCTCGCCTTGCCGCAACCTCCTTTGAGGCAGCTGTAGGAAGCAACAAGTCTCACTGAAATCCCTTTTCTCTTAGCTAAATAACCTTTGTTCCCTCAGTTGCTCCTCTTAAGACTTGTTCTCTACACCCTTCACCAGCTTAGCAGCCCTTATTTTGGATGCGCTCCAGTACTTCAATGTCTTTCTTGTAGTGAGAGGCCCAAAACTGAACACAGTATTCCAGATGCAGCCTGGCCTCTCCACAACTGAGAACAGGGGGACACCTCCTTTCTAGCCCTGCTGGCTGCACTGTTTCTGATACAAGCCAGGTTGCCATTGGTCTTCTTGGCCACCTAAGCACGCTACTGGCTCGTGTTCAGCTTGTTGCCAGTCGTCATGCCTAGGGCCTTTTCTGCAGGGCAGCTTTTCTGCCACTCCATACCACTGTACAGGGTTACCACTGAGCCTTCTTGAACCTCACACAGTTTGCCTCGGCCCATCAGTCCAACCTATCCATGTCCCTCTGCAGAGCCTTCCTACTCTCACCCTCATGCAGATCAACACCCTTATCTTTGTGTCACCTGCAAACTTATTGAGGGTGCCCTCAAAACCTTTGTCATTAAGATGACATAGTACAACCGTATGTTTTTTTTTTTTAATTTATTTAAAGATTCATTTACTTCTATTTGTTGCAACTGTTCATTCTTTTTCTATTGCTGATTGCCAAAAGGCTGGAATTCCTATTTATCTTAAGTCCATAAGAATTCATCACCAGACAACACTGTTTTTCAACTGAGCACTTTCCACGTTTTGATTTTCATGGAAGAGCCAGCATCTTCCAACCAGCATCACATCATATCAACCAGTAGCACCAGTAACTTGAGCAGCTACATTAGCGTACACCAGACTGCCTGAAAAGCAGCTGCTGGAGAGGGCCTCAACAGGAGGAACATCTTCCCTTACAGCAGGTTGTCCAAAGTCCCAAGAAACCTGGCCTTGAACACTTGCAGGGATGGGGTATTCAGTTTCTCTAGGCAACTTGTTCCAGAGCCTTGCCACCCTCATAATGAAAAATCTCTTTGGAATATGTGACCTTAGCCTACTCTCTTTACTTCAAAGCCATTACCTCGCATCTTGTCACTATGTTCCCTAATAAAAACTCCCTTCCCAGCTTCCCTGCAGGCCTCTTCAGGTATTGGAAGACTTCTCTTCCCAAGACTCAACAGCACCAACTCTCTCAGTCTGTCTTCAAGTACAAATGCTCCAGATCTCTGACCATCTTCATGGCCTTCCTCCAGACTCACTCAATCACGTTTTTGTTCATACTCTCAAACATTTTAACACAATGCTGAATTTACCTTGTAAGACTCTGCCCTACAAGACCTTTCCTAAAACCCCACGAACTGGTGAAGCCTCATTCTCTTCAAACCTCTATGAACCGTCACTAAGTTTAAGTAGCTTTACACCAAGTTCAACTGATTCAGCTTGACACTGACTTTGTGATGTTCTGTTTTTTAAAAGCTTCAAGTTCCTGCTTGAACTCACCTACTAACAGCAAAAGCTTCTCTACGGTTTTATATAATTCTATTTCCTTGCCTTGGACATGTCTAAGTTGGAGAGTAACAACTGCTCATTGCAATCTATGTAACATGTCATTATTTCAGAGATTTACATCATGATCTAAAAAACCACTCACAGCTCCAACAGACTTCAAAATTCTTCACTTAGATCCTTCTGTTGAAGTCTTAGCTTCTACTTTGAATAGTTTTATTGATTTCTTTCATCAATCCTCTAATTGTTTTAGGTTTATCATTACTGCCTTTAATAACAGTTTTGTATCACCACCACAGACAATAAATCCTAATTCCCTTCATACCTGAGCTCATTTTCAGAATTCTGTATGCTCTGATATGCTTCTTATCAGAGAATACCATAACACAAAATTGAGGGAATCCTTTTTACTTGACTACCAGTGCTTTCTGTCCATTTGCAGGATTTTAAGAGAACTTCTGGGCCAGCGGCCTGATCACTTTCTTGGCTGATTAACTAGTTCTGTGCTGATTAACTAGTGCTTTTATGCCTCAACTATTTTCATTAGGAGCTCTGACTTTTCCTCCTTCAGCACCTCCATTCCCACTCCCAGTTTATTTCCAAAGTGAAAATTTGTAACTGTGCAGAATGAAAACCTAGATTAGAACACAGTCGTTGCAGGCATTTCAGGACACTGAAATTATCATTTAAGTACTGGAGCACAAAAGGATGATAATTTAGAAAGTGACTGACAAATCTGGGGACAAAATGATATGCCATGGAAAATACGCATACTACCAACAGCACAGGGAAAAAAACAACTTGAAACACTTCCCATTGTACTCCCATAACAAAAGAAGCATAGAACTGAAGAACACTATAGAACAATAAGGCTAATACTTGAACAGCTTGAATAATAGTAGAATAACATGGATTTCACTGTGGCTCAAGTTGGACTGTGTATGAAAGTTAAGAAACAGCTGTCTTGTTTTACAAAGAATACGATTTTGTCTTTCAGGCACAGAACAAATTAGTGAATAGCTTTCCTTAGCGCTAACTCAAACTCAATGTCATTTGCTGGTTTTCTTCCTCTGATGCAGCCAACAGAGGCAATGCTCAAAAAACAACAGTAGGTCAGGATGTTTTGGGACTCTAGACCAGGCACGACTGTTCTGAAAGCTAAGCAATTCCTCTACATTGATGTATTTAACAATCCCACTATTCCCACTCCTCACCCCCCTGCCCCTCAAAATAAAAAATAAATAAAAAAAAGAAACCCAGGAAAACAAAACCAACCCCTTACTCCCCACTCCTCCCTCCTCCCTCCCAAAAAATCAGGCCCCCACCCCACAAGAACAGCAAAGAACAACCCACCCAACATTTCAGTAAGGAATGAGTCGATTAACCATCTGCTCAGGAATAAGAACGCTGTAAGTTCATTCTAACTGGGACTCCCAATTTTTAAAAAGCCTATTTTGAATGCGTACTTCCAGAGGAAGTATCTTCAAACATGAAAAAGGCTCAGAAGAAGACAAATGATGGGATATTGCCAATAACAAATGGAAAAGTCAATTAGCAATCAAGTCCAAATTAACATAATCATAGGCTTGACTTTCAGTCCAAAGTCATATGGGAAAGTAGCCACATAGAAAACAGGGTAAGTACTGTGATTATCTACAGAGGTTAGAAAAAACTGCCAATCAGACAGTACTTTTAATTGTTACTAGATGTATTTGTTTAAAGGGAATACCTTAAAGGTTTCCTCTCCTAAGTTTACTGAAGTGGGAACTAGTACACTGCAGAAAATAACTTACACATAGTACATGCCGATGCTCTCTAATTTCAAAATGACAATTTATTTTATATTTTCTTCAGAAAAAGTCTGTATCTGTAGACATTAAGTAAATAGTTTTACGCTTTTTAACAGCACCATTTCTTGTGGCTTAACGCTGATAAACAGATAAGGGCTGCATTTCTTATCTAAGCTCAGAAACATCTAAGACATGAGTGCAATATCAATGCTGGTTTTAATCACAAAGCCAAAAACACCACATCACATAAGCTACTATGAGGAAAACTAACTACAGCCCAGTCAAAACGATCATGTAATTATGTCATAGCTTTTGGCATTCCAAGAACTGAGAGTCTCAGATTCTCATTCTTTATTAAAACTCTTCTGTTTTTACAAGAAAGAACATAACTGGAAGACCACGTTCAGAAACTGCATTTATCAAATTGTACTTCAATATAACATAAGTTTTATTAATCAGTTTCATCACCTGGATTTAGTATTTTTGCTAGTAAATAAGAAAACTGATATACACCTGAACTGCTGCAGCTCCAGCTCTCTCCTGAAATCAATTTACTCTGTCATGACCAAAGTCATATTCGAACACTCAAAAAACTCTCAACTGAAACTTGTTTACAGTTAGCATAACCTCAATGAAAATGTAACCAAAGAGTACTTATTTTAACCTATATTCTGAACATGTGCAGCAAATTATGTTGATTTTATATTGATTTGACAGAGCAGTGGACTCCGAACAGTTTTTTTTTTTTTTTACCAGCTATTGACATTAGGAAAGAACTACATACTAGGTTTTTAGTTTGTTTCCTATTATGTTTTTTTCCTACTTCTGTGGAACTGAAGGATTCAGAAACAGATAATCAAATACAAACATTTACTGGAAGAAAACAGCACTGTGAAAGTGCACCCCTGTTTCAGCACTTACATCTATTAGTAGAAGGATCAATTTTCACTTCTATATAGTAGAAAGCTGATGAGAAATTGACGTGATACCTCACTCCCACAGGATGTAAGTAACTTAACACAGATCAGAGGAGAATTAATCTGTGCTATGATTTGTGTGATGTATCATCCCATATCAATGCTTACTAAGCCATATTTATATGACAGACCAATATAACCTGTTGGAAACTATGTCAGAACTATAGCAAAAACTACATGCAGTAAACAAGACTACTACGTCATCCTCCCAGAGGAATACCTATTGAAGTCAGAATTAAAAAAAAAAAAAAAAAGAATTATGAAGTCAAGGGATAGAAGTTCTTTGGACACAGTATGCAGTTATTTGTAACTGACATTTTCTCTGAGGGGAGAACTGGTTAAAATATTAATTTGCATTTACAACTCAGAATATTCGTCATATACCTATAGCTATATAAACTTTTTAGTGTAAAGCTAAAAGAAGCTAAATTCCACAAATTACTTCAGAAATGCAAGAGATTGAAATTTAACCATGTTGTGCAGAATAAAACATGTATGACTGGACCCTTACTAATAGTAGGAACAACAACTGAATGTACAACATTCCTACTCTGTATCAGATTGAAGAGAAATAGTATCAGCAACTCAGCATGATTTTAGTTCACTTATTTCTAGGTATCGGAATCAGTTCTGATACCAAATGAATCTATATGAATGCAGCATATTTTCTAATACCTTTTCCAATTACTTGAAAGTTAATGTTCATTTGACATCCTTTTTTAAAATAAAGATCACAAAGCTCTTAGAAAGCTTTTTAACAGGTTATTACCACAAGTATGACATTACCTGACCCAGAGCCTGAAGTCGTCATATCATAAATTAAATCCTTTAAAGTAGTTCCTTCAGATATAAAGGGACGATCCAATGAAGGATCTTCTTCACTTGGCACACGATGATGAATTACAGTACGGTTATGACAAAGATACAGAATCAGCATCAATGAAATGCAGACAAAGCAGACAGGTCCAGCAATAACAGCTGCCAGTTCCACAGGTCCTAGACTAGAAGCTGGTCTTCCTGGAGTAGGACCTGATGGTAAACAAATAAGACAGTTTCACCATTTCCTTCTATGTAACATCACGAAATACATCAAGTTTATTTACTTAATGATATTTGAATTACATTTCTTAAGAACTATTCTTCAAAACGTTATTGCACGCACAAAAAAATAGTACAAAAGTAACTATTTTAAAGAACACCCAGAGTTGGAAGGGATCTACAAGGATCTTCGAGCCCAACTCATGGCTCCTACACACGACCACCCAAAATTCAAACACTACATGTGAGAGCATCGTCCAAACACTTTGTGAACTCCAGCATGCTCTATTGTGCTGTGAGTGAGCCTGTTCCAGTGCCTGATCATCGTGCAAATTCAGTTTATACTTAACTTGCACGGAAGCCTTTGAAACTGGCCCTACTGTTCCTATCCAGAATAGGAATGTCTTATTCCAAAACCCTTGAAATTTTATTTGCAGAATCTAAGGTATACTTCAGACCTTTGAGTTCATCAGCAACTTCAAAACTAGAACTCTAAGTTTTCCATTGTTACAAATAAATAAAAAAGACCAAATACATCAAAAACTATTACCTGGTGTTGGAATTGGAAGTTCTATTTTATTGCAGTGGTCTTTGTCACAGCAATGAGGCAAAGTAGTAACTCCATCTCTGGAGGATGGTGCACAAACAAATGGTCTGTCTCGGGGAATCAGATCAATTTCTGCTATACACATGCTGTTGTGTATGACTCTATCTGCAATCCGCGTCACTGAGGTAAAACAAAGCCCATCTGTCACACAGGTGAAGTTGTCTTTTGTGCATAGATGGCAGTAACACTGTAATGCTGCATTGAGGAAAAAAACAAATGTTAGTCTTGGCACCCATTTTGAATCATAAAGCAACTCCAACTACAGAAGAAACTTAACCGTGAAGAAAAACGCAATAGGGTTCTTTAGTGGGACAACAGAATCAGGAAATACACATATGAAAGAATGTCAAAGTCATCTCTCCTTATACAACTATGGAGGTAGTCTGCCACGTAAGATGTTTCTCCAGGTAGGGAAATCCTGTTAGTTTCCTATTCTAAAGTCAGGTATATTTTATAACACTATCTTCTAAAGATAACTGCATGATAAGTGCTCTTTTTCAAAACCAATACAAACAGTGCCTTTTGTTTTTGTTCTAACAGCCAATGGAGCAGTTTTAGTAAGTAAAAAATAGGATGCTGCTGGCTACCTAAGTAGATTAATACTTTATATTTCACATTATAGCTTTATTTTTTTTGCTGAGGAAAGAACATAAGAGCTTAATCCTCATTAAAACAAAACCCAAATCCTAAACAACCCCCAAACTACCTAAGAACATATCATTTCACACAAGCAGCATATGACTTAGACTTTTTTTTGGTGAAAAAGTAAGAAAACAATGCATTAACACACTAAAGTTTACTACAGCTATCTACTGAGCTTGAGGGCAGGGAAAAATACAGCAGACGAATCACATACAAGAAGATGGGAAGATCTGGTTTTGTTTTTTAAATTGATAAGTTTCCTGGGAAATCTGTTACTACAAACTTCTTTCTCCACTCCTTCCCATATATACAATGCCAAAGCCAGAAAACAGTGCAATAAAAGTGAAGATACCAATACACTGGCTCTACTTGTTCATGTGAGTAGAGGAAAGGCTGCATGATGGTCTTGAAACAGAAGTGAGAATATGCTATTGCAGAAGTGAAAAAAACACAGTAGACTAAGGAGGAAAGGAATCATCTGTGCACACATGCACTGAGCTGTGCTTACTGCTCAACTAGAGCTAGCACAGAAACTGTGAGTGCACGTAAAGGCCAAAATGCAGAGACTAAAGACAAATACCATATCATCGATGACCAACTCAAAAAATGCATAAACCATAAGCGATTCTCTTTAAAGGGTACAAAATCTCACATTAAGGCGAGTAGAGCAGAAGATGCCCTGAAACATGATACTGCTTTTTCTCCACTGAAACTCTGGTTACTTCACTGAGTTTAAGATAACCACTGCCTAAGTTGTCTTGGATTTTCCATCTTTATTCTTGGATAACACTGACTGGATAAAAGATAATGTGAAAAAACAATCTGATCTCAAATTCTTGACTCTAAATTACACCTCTCCTCTGACATCTTCTGACTGCACGATTTTCAACTAAACCAAGATGCAATATTTTCCATCCTCAAAGAAATATGGAAATTCTTACTGTTCAGAGTTCAACTATGAAACATTTACCAAAGGCACAACAACAGGAAAATAACTTGATCTACACCTCAGCAAATTATTTTTGAATCCACTGATTTCTACAACATTCACAGGTTAGTATTTCTTTCTTTTCCCATTAAGTTTTCAGAACATAGCTTTATTTAAAAACAAACACACAAAGAACCCCAAACTTGCAGGCCTTTATCTGACACCAATATACCAATCATCCAATACTTTCCCTAATTAAATCATCTTCCTGGCTGATCAGAACTGCAGATGCATCTGAATGCCTACAGTAACAGACTTGCAGTGATTTGTTTATTTACATTAAGTCCTGGTACAAAGGATAAGTTACACAAAGTGAAAAAATAAACATAATGTTTACTTATCTCCCTGCTCATACACAACTTTAAAGATACACTAAACGCTTCAGTATGAGTGGGATTAAGAAGTGGCTCACCCACCTTTCCTTTGTTACAGTTCCTAGTGTGATTTTATTCAACAATTTATACTTTTGTCCCAGTTTGACACCATCATCTTTTAGGCTGTTACCAAGACAAAAAACTATATGGCTTCCTACACAAGTCCTTACTTGCTTACACAAGCACCATCCACAGCCTCACTGTGCTCACATCCATCTTCTGGTCTCTATGAACATTTAGTAGCATCTGTGAACGTCAAAGGGTGCAATGTTTTTCAGCATGGAGGAATTCAATTACCTCTGCTTCATCTGCACCTCCCTATCGGTTGCATTTAGTCAGACTGCCCCTCCACTGCTCTCTGTTGCACAGCAACAAAATGCAATGCAATACTGGTGGAAAGACTCCACCTCAACTGCCATATGTTTGCCAGTTATTCACAGTGCAGAATTTTACTATGTAAAAGTGACTTACAACAGCGTGTGGATGCAACAATTAGCACAAAGCCCGCAGTGCAGATGAGTTGGGAACGTAAATAAGACAGAAACTACACAGCTTCTCAAGAAGAGCTCCGTTATTTATTCTACGTACAAAACTTGACCAGAAGATAATTAAATATAGCCTGTTCACTTAAGTTTGAAGAGGTTTTTCAAGTATTTGGTGTGTTCTTAAAAGTGACAAAGCCACATTAAGTCTTTATTTTGAAATTTCATAAAAGCCTGTGAATGACTGTGTACTATTTGTTCATGTCCTGCAAAACTATTTCATCCACAGTTCAGCAAAAATCACCTTCAAGCAAAGACCTTCTGCTGAAATTCAACGTGCTCTTTCAAAGCACGCTAACGAAGTATTAAAAAGTAGATCAAGCTTGTGACTTTCCTTTTTAGAACACCTCACATCTCAATGCCAGTTTTATAGTATCAATAGTTTTCTCAAATATCTTTTAGTAATTTCAAAAAGCCAAATCAGTAGGCACATGACTTCAGGCCCCACGAGGAGCATTATGCTGAACAAGGAACTCCAGATCCTTCCCTTGTCATAATGTAATCTCTTCTTCCACAGAAAATACAAGTGACATCTTGTAAAACCAACAACAACGCAAACGCTAAAATGAAAAACTGTACCACCAGAAGAAAAAGAAATCAGCACTCTGGTTCCATAAGTCATAATGCTTGTGTGGAGAAAGGAGCAAGGCTATGGTGTATCAGAGACAGCAAGAGATCTTGGGGGAGACAACCAAGTGAGTCGTGGTGTTTACTGGTAGCTTCTTCCCCTCTCCAATAAATTCTGTCTGTCCAAAGCAAAAATGTAACTCAGACAAGTGATGCCAGATTCCTATACTCCTATTCATACATTTCCCTCAAACTGCACATTTGACTTATCTCTGAACTCTTTCAAGCTGAAGACACAAAACTGTTTAGGTACAACATCTGAAATACAGCTAAGGCGTTTTTCAACCATGATACTTCTGGTTGATGTCTACAAAGCTATTATTCTCACAAAGGCACCAATCAGGTTAAATGCTGTAGGGTGACAGCACTGGTTGTCAAGTTATCGGGACAGCTTTTACATGCATGTAAGCAAAGCTTCCAAAGAAAACAACAGTTCTTGGCAATCAGTGATGCACTCAAGCAAGCAGACACACTACTTCACTGAGGCACTACCTGTAACTTGCAGGTAACAATAAAAAGTCTCAGCTTCAATGAAGCAGTGTTCTGCTGTCTGTGGTGCAGGGGAAAAACAGTAATAGCTGATAAACAACTCATCCATTCATCCCTCTTACAGCAAAATATATAAAACGAGTTTTGGTTATCTTTCATAGAAAAGCACGGTTAAGAAAAATGAAAGGGAGTTTAAATTAAAATCTGTCTTTACCTTTTAGTTTTACTGTATGAAAGAAAGGAAAACTTCCATTTGTACTGTTAAATATACTTAAGCATACAAATCAGATTTCTATTCTTATTTAAGGACTAACTGCGTGAATACAAGTTTGCAGCAGAACTGCCTCAGAATTTCTGACAGATTAAAGACAATTTCGGCTCACTCAGTCGATTCATGTTTTCACAGGCTGCCCTACAGATTAGCACTATGTGAACAGTAGTTCAACCTCCCATTCATTGTGATTCATGACGTGTCTGATCTTCATCTAAACAACAGGGAAGTGTTCACCTGCACAACAACACCAGCACACTGCAAAACAAAAGCATCACAAAACGCTTCACTTTTGTCGAAGTGAGACATATGATTTGTGTACTGTTACTTAGCACTCTTACATCATGCTTCTTTGCTAACTTAGACCACGGTGAGTGAGCAAACTCATCCCTTTAGCAGCAGCAGACTTGAGTGTGAGCTATGCATAAAGAGCCCTGGAGCTCCTATTGCCTTGAATAGGACTGACATCTCTTCCCCTTGCTTTTTTTTTAAAGCAACAGAACCAAAACAAAGAGAACAAACACTGCCACTTCCAATCTTCGGGTTTGGTATGGAAATTTATTACCTTATTTTCACGCGATTAATGGCAATTCTTGACAGATTAGGACCATCAAAAGGGAAAAGAACGGTTCAGAACTCAGATCAAGTTAAAAGACGTCCTTCATCTGGACTGGATGCGATACACACACAAGTTATCAATTATTAAAGCCTGCTGCACCTTTCCAAATACACAAGAAAATAAAACGGGTAACTTAAGCTTACTTCACTGCTCCTACATCTAAGATGCTCCACCTTCTTCAGTACGAGTGGTGACAACGCAGCACTTTAGTTTAGCAAACAGCAAAATACTTCCTTCATAAAGCACCGCCTTACAGCGAGCTGCAGCAACCCCAGATGCCTTACAGCTCGAATAAAGTTGCGGCGCTTCTCTCCCCTTCCTCTGCAAAACGCGATCCGCGAGCTGAGTCGGGAATTGAGGAGCTGACTGCAAGCAGCGCATATTTTCCTGCACGCGTTACCGCGTCTAATCACGGATTCGAGCGCAGCTCCACAGCGGAGCTCACAGCCCGACCCCGCCGGCCACGCCGCCCCGCAGGGTCGCCCGGTGCGACGGCACCCGCGGCAGCAGCCAAGTTTCCCGACGCACCTCCTCCGCCGCCAGGATCGCGGGGCCGGGCAGAACGGCGGCGGCCGCCCCTCCCTCGGTCGGTCAACAAAGGGACGAGCGGGGCGCGGGGCTCGGACGCCGGTGGAGGCGGCGACTCCGCCCTAGCCGGCCCCTCCGCCATGTTGTTGAAAGGAACCGACGTGGACCCGCGGGCCGCCGCCTCCGCCGCCGCTCTCCTCCCCCCGCCCCAGGCGCCGATCGCTCGCTTTCCCCTCCCCCCCCTCCCTCCGGCTCTCAGCCGTAGGCACGCACGCACGCACTCGCTTACCGGCCGCCCCGGGCAGCAGGACCGCGGCTACCAGCAGACGCAGCGCGGCCCGCGACCGCCGACCGCCCCGTCCGGCCATGCTCCGCTCCGCTCCTCGACCCGCGCTCCCGCGCGACAGATCCGCCCCGCGCCCCCTGCGCCGCTCCTCCCCCCTCCCGCCGGAGAGAGAAACATCGACGCGCTCGCGCCTCCCCCTCGCGCCGCCAGCGTAACTGCTGCGGGGCCGCTCCCTGATTGGCCGCCCCGCCCCGCCCCGCCCTCGCGGCAGCCGCGGGGCGCCCCGACAACAACGGGCGGCTGCGGAGCGCGGCCTGAGGCCGGCGGCCGGGCGGGTTTTACCCGGCGCGGAGCCGGGAGAGCGGCTGAGGCGGCGTGTGGGCTCGGCGGGAATCACCGCCGCGGACGGGGCTCCCGCGGTTGACTCGGTCGGAAGGAGATGCGGTCCGGACCTTGGCGCTTGTTTGTGCCGCTAGGGTTGTTAGAGTTAGGGTGCTATGGTTAGGCTGCGGTTGGACTTGACGGTCCTTGAGGTCCCTTCCAACCTGAGTAATTCTAGCATTCTGTGATACAATTCAGAAGGAAAGGACGGGTCTCCCTGAAGCGCGGAGTTACAGAGCAGAGCCTGCACGCGTCGTTTCTTTGTGGAGATAAAGCAGCGCTGGTTGCAGTGTGCAGCTCCGTCGTTATTTCACAGCCCGTTCGCTCACCCCATGTAAGTGCAGGAATTATTTGGGAGCCAGAAGCAAGCCTGTGTGATCCAAAAAACCGTCCGAAATTCTGGTTAAAAGCTGTGGCAGCTAGGATCTGCCTGGGATTGTTGCTTTTATCCCCAGTTTTATTAGCTTCTGTGTGGTGGGAAAGAAGACAGGCCCTCTTCGTCCCCCCTTCTGATTTCAGGGGGAAATTATTTACAGAGAGAGTGGTGAGGTGCTGGAACAGCTGCCAAGAAAGCTTGTGGATGCCCTGTCCCTGAAGGTGTTCAAGGCCAGGTTGGATGGGGCCCTGGGCAGCCTGGTCTAGCATTAAATGGTGAGGCTGGTGGCCCTGCATGTGGCAGGGGGGTTGGTGATTCGTGATCCTTGAGGTCCCTTCCAACCCTGGCCATTCTGTGATTCTGATCACATAACCACTGTCTCAGTGGTTGCCTGCTTCCTCTGGAAATTTCTCCTGCCTCCTTGGTGCCCTGGCTCCTGTGCTCAGCTTTTCAGATCCCGAATCATTGCAAAGTCTCACAATTCAGTAGAAGTTTTTATACTACCTTTATACTACCTTTGTTGCTGTGTAACATAGGACAAGCCAACACAGGTCACAGGTGCTTTTTTACTTGCTTCCTGTAGTCACTGTTTTTGACAAATTTTTGCAAGCTTTATGTACTGTCTCTGCCAGGTGATGCCTTGCCAATTCAGCGTTCTGGACAAAAACTTCAGAACCACACTCAATTCCACATCACAGCAATCTGCTTTCTCCTTCCTGTTTGCAGTTGTTCTGCTAACAGATCCATTGTAAAAAGTTTTGTTTCTCCTGCAGTACAGTTCACCTGGATAAAAATCCTGATAATGTAACGGTTCAAAGTGAGTTAAGTATTTGTTAATTCAGTCTTTTTCCCTTTCTCTCCTAGCAATGATCAGTGTTGCATACAAATATAACCTACTTAGTACTGTTTCAGTATGTCAGTATGACAGTATGTTAGACTGAACATCTGGATTCAATACAAACGCATGCTGTAAGGAGTTACTGAAGTTGACATCACCACGCAAGCATGTTCTTAGTTATCCATATATAGAAATGTACAAGGGATTAATCCTAGTAATATGCTAGCAGCAGTACAAAATACTGAAGCATCTTTTAAAATCATAAAACACTAACACTATAGCTTAAGGAAATTATACTTGGAAAAGCACCCTCTATTTGCTTTGTTACCACAGGCCATCAGAATTACGTGTGGACCACAAAAAATCTTTCTGAAGGAAAACAGGGAACAGGAAACAATGAGTAAGTGAAGGATTTCTTTCAGGGCTTCCAGTTCGGTCTTAGGGGAAACAGTGAATTAGCATCCTGAGCAATGTTTGGCTAGGTCAGTAACTTGCATTTGACAGCTCTCCAAGATGGTTTCACGTCACTTTCAAGCGATGAACACTCCCTGCACAAATTATTTTCAACAGACCTTACTGTTCTTACATATCACGCGCTATGTAAAGACCTATACCCATGAAATATCTGCACTTAAGTCACACTCTGTCCTGATTCTTAGCTATCCAGCTGTAACCTTGGGTACCATGTCAGACTGAAGAGCCGAAGTAAGCTCAGGGCTGAAGCAGCAACTATAAAGCTACCTAAGTTCAATTTGTGGATATAGAATAATAATAACAGCTCCTTTTCCTGCCAAGGGGCTCTTGACCTTAAAAGAGTTCTGATGGAGGGTTACATCTTGTTCATGTGGGAAGGTCACTGACCATAAAGGTCAGTCCCCATTTTTCTTGTTGGATTGATCCCTGTGTTCTTCTGTCATCTTTCTTCCACTATTACTTCTGCATCCAGTTATCCTTTTACATTATTTCTGTGTTTTGATTCCTTTGTATGAGCATCACTGCCTCTCGTGCAATCAAGGTGGTCTAGGTAGGACCTTTTTGCTGTACAAGAGTGGAGCAGTTAGGAAAAAAAAAAAAGCAAAATACAAATGAAAGCTTGAGAACATTTAAATTATCAGGATGGCTCCATTGGGATTGACCTGTTTAGGTTATCCAAAGTTGTTAAACCTATTTTTAAGACTGATTGCTTACTGAATTGAGTAAATCAGGTAGTTATACAGGGAATATCTACAAATTAAACACAGGATTATTTTTTTCCTCCACTAGTATCTGGTATTTAGACATGTTATGAAAAATAAATAGTACCCAGAGGGAGTAAGTACTACTTTCATTTCTGTCAAGAATTATTAAGGTGGAAAGTGAAATACTTGAGGTTATATGAAAGGTTATGTAATAAAAAAAAACAAAACAAAACAAAAAAAACCCACCCCAAAACACTAAGGATCTACATAGAACATTAAAATATAACTACTTTTGAAAAGGGACAATTAATAGAAAATAGTACAAAGATTGTTCTATGAAGTGATCTATGATTCAACTCAATGTGTACATGCATTAACATGCTACCTGATCCAGCAGGTGCTGGAATAAAGGATATGGGTGAGTATGTTGCATTGTTTCTTAGTCTTGTACATCTTGGTAGTAGTTATCAGTTGTATGGGAGGACCATAACAGGACCCTTTATTGCTCACAGATCTGAATCTTAAGCTATGTGAAGAGCCACTCCTTGTCCCAGACAAGGTGCCTATCACTGAGATAGAAAATAACAGGATGAGATGAGAATAACAGGATGGTGCAGTGCCTCTGCATAGGGCAGTGCAATAGCTTTAAGAAGATCCTCTTTCGTTTCTTAAATGAATGAGACGTGAACATGTATGTCACGTAAATGGCTATTTGCAAGAGGGCTTTATGTTAAACCTGGCAAAAATTCATAAAGAGGTATTGCTGTTTGTCCCATGAATATCAGACAAGTATTTTTCCACTGCAGGCTTTTTGTTGAGTGAAAACTCCAGTTAGCCCTGAAGCCAGCCACTATGGTTAAGTACCTGTTAGTGTAATTAAACCTTTGTGTTCCCTGAGTAGTGATTGGAACATATTGTCCCCAACTACATACTGCAAATCCAGCGACATGAGCCAGAACTATGCCAGGGAATAATTCAGCAATCAGTAATGCCATTTGTGCTAATGGTTGTACCCTGGCTCTGATAATTTTCTAGTGTAAATGTAGCCTCAGAGATTGAATTAGCTTCAGTTAAGACCTTGTAGCCTGAGAAGTTAAAATACATAATTAAAGCAGAGCTAAACATCAAAGAACTATTTTTCTGAGGTTTACATGATTAACAGGGATCCTCATGAATGTTTGGAGACAAAGAAGGCTGAACAAAACTACTGTGAGGTGGTAGCAGTACCAACCAGTGGAGAAACATAGTTGTATACTGGTGTTTCTGCTGTTCTTATGAACACACTTGTTGTTTTGCAGAGCAGGATGCAAAACACCTTTCCCAAAGAAGCATTATTGTCACCATCTTGGCTTGACTTGAATTTGCTTGTGATCTGGTCCTTCTTCTAAGGTCAGGCAGGGCTATCACCCTCTTTTCTGTGAAACCTCACTAGTTCTGGTCCTGAGACCAGCTTAAGAGAACAGATTATAATATTACACCTGATCAATGCTATGGCATGATGATGAACTCACTTCTCACATAGAAATTCACACAGCTTGTGCTGTCTATTATGTGCACTGAGCTTGAAAAAGATACAGTACTTTGCAGGAGCATACAGGAAGGTTCATTTCTTTGTAAGGGGAACAGAAGTAGTTGTTCCTTGTTGGACCTCTCTAAACTCCTTACCAAGCTACTGCTTGGTACACCCAGCAAAATGCATACAATTGAATTTGGTCTTCAGGGGGGTGCTGTGTAAAATAGGATGCAGCAGATGTACATGAAAGGTGGAACCTTTGTGTGCACCATGCTGTACCACTGCAGCTGACAACTCTGAAAGGTGTTGAGCTTTTCTGTGGAAGAACAACAGCAGCTTTAGATAAGAATAAATGGTTGAAGAAGAACAAGTGAAGAAAGAGGTCAATCACGAGATAGGATAAAGGACAAATGAAAAAAAGTCTGATTCAATTTCTCTCCTGCCCGTAGAGGATGAAGATTCTGACTTACAGTTCTGACTTACAGCTTTCTCTCCCCCTGGGCAGAGACAAGTATAGCCAAAGCTGAGCCATCCACTTTGGGTGCACTTTCATGTTAGGCTGTGTACACATGACCCTGACCATTACTTAAGAGTAGAACAGGTTTTTTGTTTTGTTTTGTTTTTAGTTACAAATAAAATGGAAGAGGATCTG